ACAAAAAATAGACCATATGATCATCTCAATAGATGCAGAAAAAGCATTTGACAAAATTCCGCACCCTTTTATGATTGTAGATATCATCCCTTTACTTCCAGATTTAGAACTCTCTTACATATATCTTGTAGGGTCAGTATAGTGGTGATACATTCCCATAGTTTTGCTCTTCTGGGAAATACATTTTTTTCTCCATCATTTATGAAAGATAACTTTACTGGGTTTAATATACTTGGCTGACAGGGTTTTTGTTTGTTTTTGCATTTTGAATATATCATCCCATTCTCTCCTGGCCTGTAAGGTTTCTGCTGAGAAATCTGCTCTTAGTGTGATGGGAGTTCCTTTATAAGAGACTAGAGGCTTTTCTCTTGCTGATTTTAGAAATCTATGAATTTGACTTTTGACATTTTGCATTGCATCTGTGTGGGGATATCTGATCTTCCTGTATCTGGATGTCTACATCTTTTCTTAGACTTGGGGCATTTTCAGTTATTATTTCTTTAAATAGGTTTTCTAAATCTTTTCTCTTTGCCTTCTGGACATTAAAAATGAGTATTTGGCTGTTTCATGTTGTCACATGTATCACATAGGCTTTGTTCAATCTTTTCTATTTTTAAGTTTTTGTTTGCCTGGATTATTTCAAAAGACCACTCTCAAGTTCTGAAAATCTTTGTTTTGCTTGTTCCTAGTCTATTATTGAAGCTTTCAAATGCATTTTGTATTTCATTTAATTCTTTAGTTCCAGAATTTCTGATCTTCCTTTTCATGCTATTTTCACTTTGGAAAAATCTCACTTGTATCCTGAATTTTTTTTTCTGATTTCTTTGTATTGCTTTTCTACATTCTCTTGTATCTCACTGAGATACTTTAATATCATTATTTTGATTCCTTACCCTAGATTTTATATATTTATTTTTTATTTTAATCTGTTGCTAGAGAATTATTATGTTCCTCTGGAATTATCATATTTTCTTGTTTTTTCAAGTTTCTTGTGTCTTTAATATCTACTCATCTGGTGTAACATAACAATTGATTTTTTAATTGTCTTAACTTGCTTTTATAAGAGAGAACATTTTTCTGAAGGATGTACCTATGGTGCTGGTTGGGTAGGGCACTTTGGATTTGATTCTGGTGTGTGCATTAGTACATAATCTTGCATGGTTTTGGGGGCTGTAAACATCTTCAGTGTTATCTGTTATTTACTCAGCGGCTTAGGGCATAGTTGTTAGTCAAGTCTGTCGTAAAGTTTACCTGGAGACAGGGACACAAGATGCAGCTGTCCTCAGGCCCTTGTGATGGCAGCAACAGGCTGAGCATACCTGTCCTTGGGCCCTACGATCGTGTATGCTGGCACTGGTGTTAATATGTCCAGGCAAACTGATTCTTGGGCCTCCAGATGGTTTGCTCAAGTGATAGTAGTAGCATTGGTGGGAAGAACAGGGGGCCAAGTTATTGGGCCCCTGGGCAGCAGGTGTGGCATTGATGATTTCAGTAGTAGTGGTGGAAATAATCTCTGGGTCTCAAGCAATCCATGCTGGTGTTGCCAGTGGCTGCAATAGACTGGGTGGGTCAGTCGCCATGCCTGTAGGTAATGCCTGTGGGTGAGTATCCTCTCTGGTGATAGCGGCAGGTAGGCTGGACCCAACTTCCGGTTTCTGGGTGGAGTACTTAGATGCTAATGTAGGTCCACTAGCTTGGGTGGTCCTCATGCTGCTGAACAGGATAGGGCACTGGGGGGAAAAGGGGAAGGGCTGGTCCAGGCAGTTCTGTCCCTAGGATCCCAGTGGTGCTTGCAGTCACTGGCTGTGGTAGCAGGCCTAAGGTGGAATTCTTGCTTGGGGGTGGTAGTGACTGCCCTGCAGCCTGCTTCTGAGTAGGGTTTTTAATGGCAGCAGCTGTATGCAGGCAGCTGGGAAGCGCTCACCTTCACCTGTGCTTTAGCTTCGACTGCAGCACTCACTTTGGGGGGCTGCTGTAGGCAGGAGAGATTGTCCTCAAGGCACTTGCAAATGCACAGCAGGCTTCACTTCTGGGGAGTGGTTGGATCACTACAAATGGTTTGTGCTTCAGTCCTCGAGTAGCAGGCAGCTATGGCAGTGGCCATGGGTGGGAAATAGCAATAGGGCTCCAGGGATGTGGAGATGCAGGGGCTGTTGGGCCCCATGGCAGGAAGCAATCTGGTTGAGGCTGGGCTCTTAAAATGGCACCTTAAGACTTGGGGTTGGGTGAGACCCAGCATGAGGTCCTTTTCTGAAGCAAGGCTGTCACATGCTCTTCAGGTAGCTCCTTTATTTGGCCTTGGGGCCTGCAAGGGTAGGAGCTTTCCAAAGCTAGGATGCAGGAGTCCACAATGGGAATGTGGACTGCTGGGAGTCACTCATTTACCCTTCCCCCAGACTGGGGGGGTCTTTCCCAGTTCCCAGCTGATCCTGCCCAAGGAGGCTGCCTTGCTTCCTTTTCCTTCCTTGTTTTAGGTGTTTCCTGCAACTTCTCTGTAGAATTCCAGTTAGATATTAGAAGTGTGATCATCTATTTGCTATTTTGGTGGTTCTTTGTGGAAGAGGCAAGTACCAGATGTCTCTAGTCAGCCATCTAAAAGATACATTAATGTTTTCTGTGTAGAGGCTTGTATATATTTCATAATTTTCCATGTATCTTCATAAGGAATTTCATTAGTTTTTCATTCTTGTATGACTTTGTTGGGTTTTGGAAGAGAGTTATTCTGGCCTCTTAAAATGCATGAGAAAGTGTTCTCTCTTTTTTTTTTTTTGTCATTTTCTAGGGGTATTTGTATAAGATTGGTGGGTTTTTCTTCCCTTAAGTATTTGGAGAAATTTCATGTTTTTATTATTATCATTAAATTAACCATTACCTCTAAAACACTTAGAAAGTAGATGGCGTTTGATGAGTGCTATACAGTGTTAACATTCGTATCTGCTTGAGTACCCATGTAAATCATTACATTAAGATGCCAAGATAGAACAGTAGCCAGCTTTAGACACAGGTAATATGCTTCAAGCCATTCTTTTAGAACCCTTCAGGATAGCAGCTTTTATTCAATTATCAATTACTACTCAACATATTTTCAGAAGGTTTTTATTGATTTTTCTTCTGTTGCCATAACATTACTACTGCATAAAAGAGAGGTGGGTTTTGACAGAGCATAGTTTTAAGTCATGAATACAGCTAACTCCATCTCATGCCCATGAAGAATTCTCTGTAGCTAATAGTTGTACAATGAGGTCATGACACATCTTATTTTATTCCTTACTGAAATCATCCCAAATACCTTCTTTCATTCCTAGCCTCTGCCCTCTCTCCCCCTTCTCCTTCAAGAGCTACCTCCATTTAGAGGCTGAATTTTCCTACATCCACTCTCTTCCCAACCCAAATATGGTGTCCATTTCTGCCACTCCACTGAAATGACTCACTTCTAAGGGCCCATTAACTGCGATGTCATTAAAGGTCATTATTCTGCACTCAATTTATGTGATCCCAGTGGCATTTGACACTGACACCTGCTTTCTCAAAACATGCTCTGTCATTGAATTCTAGGACAGCAAGTGCTTACTGCTTTTCTCCTCTTTAGTTACTCCTGTTTCTATTTACACTCTTAACCAACTCATTTATATAACTTTGAGTGTTGAGTTCAAGGTTCAATTTCTTGAAATGTATAGCTTCAATCACTTTTCTGCACAATGTTTCTCTTTAAATGTATATATCTAAAGTACAGTGTATTTCTTCTCTGAGAACCACATCCCTATATTCCATTACCTCTTTGATATTCCCATTTGGTAGCTTTTCAGAAACCTCAAATCCAGCACTGTCTAAAATGGGCACACGTAGTTCCTACCATGGCTGCTCTCATAGTTCTTTCCTTCAGCAAAAGGTAACACCATCTTCCCAGAACTGGAGACAGGAAGACGCAGAGCCGTCCTTGACTCTACTCTCTCCCTCATCCCACAGTGAAGCAATTGTTAAATCCCGCTCACTTTGTCTCCTAACTATATTCCAATTTCACTTATATAGTTTTCTTTTTCCAGTGCCACTATTTGAAAGTGCAGCGTACCATTCATTTATCAGGGATACTGTAAGTGGCTTATAATTCTTCTCTGAACATTCATAATTGCTAGTCTAGCTACTGCCATTAGAATGATCTTTTTCAAACTTAAATCTGAGTACATCATGCCATTGCTTGAAAGTATTTAATATCTGGCTCTACCAAAGGAATGTAGTCTGTTTTGCTCAGGCTTGTCATCAGCATTCAATATATGTTTGTTAAATGACAAATTACAAATAAAGAATCAAAAGATTTTTTATCACCCCCCCAAAAAACTTTATATTTCCCTTTGACATATAAGCATGAACTTCTCCAAATATAAGACATTGTTTAATTTACATAGTCAGGGATTATAAATAATATCACACATAATAAGCTCTTAATGCAAGAAGTTATTCTCCAGGATAGACCACATCAATCTATTCAGCTCAGGCCTCTGTTCTGACAGCAGCATATGAAAGGGCAGAGAGAGAAAAATCATCTATGACCTGGTATGTTAAATATGTATTTTCTGAGTGTCTATTAGGTGCCAGCTAGGATGGGACTACCTAGGGGAGGACAGGGACCTAAGGTCTCTTATGACCTATGGCAGATGCCATGATGATATCTAAGATGTGAGGGTGCAAAAATGGAAGGCAGAACCAAATCCAGCCAAAGGACTAAGAAAGCCTCTTTGGGACAGAAGACGTGAAAGTTCTGAAGGAGAGTAGAATCTATTCATGCAGAAATTGGGGAGAGTTTATTCCAAGTGAAAAGAATGGTGTGAATGAGGATTAACTTGGCATAATGCAACTGGCACCAGGACCATGACTTTTGAGAGGTTATGAAGTCCTCAACTTGGGTGGTGGCAATCTGAACAGAAGTGGATAACATGTCAACACTGGATGTACCATATTTTATGGTTGGGAGATAAGGACAAAATCATGAGGAACAAAAAAGAGGATGCCTTAGAGTTTCCCAGGCCAATAGATGACAATGTCAATAAGGGAAATAAAGCTAGAAGGAGATTAATGGCAGTCAGGGTTCTGAAGACAGGGAGAGGTTTCTGATCTGCTGAGGTGTGGATGCGCCTATAAGATATCCAGGCTGGGCTAGCATTGGGCACATGAGGTTTCAGAAGAGAGCCAGGAAAACTTGGCAAGATTTTAACATTCCTACTTAATTATCTTTAATTATCATACTGTGAGTCCATAATCCATAAATTTTATCCAAAGCATTCTGGAACATTTCCTAAAAGTTACTGACTACTTGCATAAATCTTAACATGTCACGATAAACATTCATTTTTAACATCCAATGTCTACTTAATCAATTAACAATTGTTTTCCATATGCAGTTTATTAAAGGTTGATTCGGTCCTGTTCTTTCACTGGTATTTGGGTCCTAAACTTAATGCTGAGAATTTCAGTCGGGCTACAGAGGAAATAAGTCTGTGTAATGATGCCTCCTTGTCAGGCAAATTATTTCATTTTGAAATTCTATAGCAAAAGAACAACAATAAAGTATTGGTTCCACTTTTAAATAAATACGGGGTTATTTTGCTGCTGAAAGTTTCCATTCAAATGACTGATCAGATCTCACATGTCTGTTTAAAAATGTCTGACTTAGGTCGTTACAAAATGACAGACTATGATAAACTAGATGATAGTTAGGAGCAAGACAATGAGGCATTGTTTACACAGAAGATTGAGTAACTGGTTTAACAAAAGAGGTTCTTGGGTATCTATTGTATGTACAACTAAGAGATTTACTGGAGCTTTTATAATTTCTGCAAGGCTCTTTTCCAGTCAGCTTCATTAACTTGAAGTAAATCAAATCATGCAGAAATCTGGCTCAGCCAGAAAGCAACCCAGTGAGATACAACATGAAGAAAAACAGACACGGGATGATAAGGTTTAGAATCTTTGGCATTTTTCATAAACATTTTGTTTGAAGATTATTAAATTACAACCCAGAGACAAAACTAGTAAACTCACCATTAAATCAGATCTTTTTACCTTAACTTTCCTTTAAAATACACACACATACATACATATATATAAATGCACAAAGTATATGTCAACAAAATATAGTCTTTAAAACGTAAATATCATTGGAACAGAGATATTTGTACATATTTTGTATTTGCACAAAATCAAAATTTTTACTTGGCAGGGGAATACTGTGGAATAGTGGAAGACAGGTGCTATCAAAGGACTTTGGCGTGGAACTTTTTCTAGGAATGGGGTTCTGAAGTTAATTTTGTTTGTAGCTTATTTTGCTCCTAACAGGAACAAAAGATAAATTTGGACAGCTGAAGAACTTTTACTTTCTGCTGAAAACAGGCAAATGAAATGAACATGATAATTGGGTAAGCAGCCTCCTATATTAGTCCCTTGGTCTTTAGCTCTTTGGATTTCTAAATACTTACAGAATGCATTCATTCATCCTCTTCTTCATCTTTCTGAAACTACATGTTGCCATTATATTTTGGAAATAAGCAAAAAGTAAAATCAGAAGAAAGGGTATTTTAAGGCAACCAAATACTTTCATGAAACACTTGTCCCTGGGGACCTGCCTGGGGCATCCATTGCCAGCAATGGAAAAGGACACAAGCTGGCATCCAGCACTGAGTACAGACACATCCTTAATAATCACAGCTGAAACACTCCTAAAGATCTGAGATAATTCCGGTAATTATTTTTAAAAAATCTTTATATAATATACATTATTTAGACAGATGATGGCTATCAAAGACTTGTTAGCTGATTATTCATGTAAGTTTCTTCTGAGTTGAAAGGAGTGTGGGGGTGGGGAGTGGAAATAACTGAATCTTAATGAGAATCTGTTGGAGGTGTGAAAACAAGTTCAAAGTCGCTCTCGAATCCAAGTGGCCTCCTGGCTGTTCTCACGGAGGGCGTTCAGACCCGTGGCAGCCTCGCTTTACCTCCCATTTCAGAATGGATGTTAGTTAGTTGGTCTTTCACAGTCTCGGGATTGTTTCCTTTTGCTGGGCTGGGACCCTCTGTGCAAGTCGGACACACCGTGCACGGGGATGTGCACACGTGCACGGGGATGTGCACACCTGCACGTGTGCATTTGTGCGCGTGAAGAAGAGGGGAGAAGAAAGAGAGGGCGCCACGCCGCGCGCATTTCAGAAGGCGGCTGCGGGCACCACCGAAACAGCCATAACGTTGGTCTGATCAACCAAACACAGTATCGAGTGATGGTGTCCGAAGTCGGCGCGTGCCTTAGGGAGCGCTGCGCTTCTTCCGCAGGGGGCTGTGGCTGCTGCAGAGTTTCAATTCCGCGTACTGCACCTGTGAAAACAGACAGACGTGACGCTGGCGGTGAGGTAACCCTAGCTCACCACAGCGCGTGCTAATGGCTCCCCAAGGACAAACCAAGGCAAAGGAAGGAAGGTTCAAAGGTAAATGAATCATTTTCTAAACACAGGAACATGGAGGGATTAATTGCAGGAAGGATTTGAGAAGTCATGCATCATTTCTTGAAACCAAAATATTAAAAGCAGATTTTTCTAATGAGATGCACGGGTTTCTACCTGCTCTGGGCACTGCCAGATGATCTTTGTTTTCTGTGTGCCAGCTTTCAACCAGAAGTGAGCTTAATAATTGCCTCTTGGGAATGTTTATCTTAGTATATGATACAGCAACTTACTGAGAATTATTCATTTTAAAAATATCTAAAATCTTGCGGAAAACATCTCAGCAAATTATATACATTTCTTTTGCCTGAGAAGGAAAATATGCTGAAATTGATACTGGGCCCCAGACTTATGGAGATTTCTCTTAAAAATTCATTTTATTTGCAATGTAATGGTTAAAACATCTGTGATAAATAGAGTACTCGGAAGTCCCCAGTGGCAAACTGTCATTGTGTTATTAGAAAGTGCCCTTGTTGATACACAGGATGCTAGTAAGATCCTCTGTGTATCTTCCTGGAATGCTCTTGTGTTGTCTGTGTTCATGCCAACTCCAACCCAATGTCCACTCTGAGGGCTGGGGCCTGGACTATGCACAGATAATCCTTAGGGGCCTTGATGGAAATTTCTATTCTTACATTGTGACCCAAGTGATGGTACTGCAAAGATACTGCTTTGGTGTATGGGCTTTGATAGGCTGCTCGTGGGATGGCTTTATTGAAAATATTATGTACAGACCACATGTGTTCCCTGTTTCTAGCATTTGTGCCAAACCTCCCAAGGACACGATGCCCAATCACATAAGTTAGGCTATACTTTGTCAAAAGCAGGTAAATGGAAATAAACCATCCTTTCTTTCCAGGATTTTCTGACAGGCCCCTAGAGGAGCAGAGGATGCTATACCTGTCATTCTTCGATGCAAAAGACACATGGGTCAGGTATTATTTTTTAATTACACGATGCAAATGTTACAAAGTAAATTCATCTTTATAGAATGTATTTTCACAGCTAAGTATATCATAAAATGAAGGCTAAAGAAAAAAATAACATCAGAGTCAATTTTAAATCTCTCAAACCAGGAATGCAGGGGAAATAAACTCTAAAGCATTTCAGCCCCAGGTCTCTGTGATCCACCAGGAGCTGCCAGGGAACCAATTATGTTATGGTGGCCCAGAGATAAAAATCGATACTTGATTTGCAAAGATTCTCTCAAATAATAAAAGATGGTGCCTTTGGTCTCCCCATCTATCTATTCTGTGATTTCTTTTCTCCGTTAGACAACTCACTGCCTGCCCTCTTTCCTCTGGATTTAGAGCAGGCTGATCTGCAGGGAACCAGATCGAGCTACTCTACAAGACTTTCTGGTATTGTTGCTTTTGTTAATCTCTGTGTAGCCACAGAAACGGGTCTATGTGACCATTACCTGTGAATAATACTTTTGATTGATCTCACATTTTTTCATGCCGTCTCTGCCTCTATGTGTATTAGAGTAAATGGAGGTTTTGCCCTCGACATCCCTAAGTCTTTAGAGGGAAGAGCAGGGAGGCCGAGGAGATAATCAGGGCAAACGAGAATAAAAAGAATAATCCTCTTGTCTCCTACTTCCTCTCAAATGCCTGCCATCCGGAAGAGAAAGAAAATAAGCAACACGCCCAGCTTTGGATGGCATGGGATTCTGCTCACTGAGCCCATCTTATCCTCTTTAGGGAGGCAAACAATCAGAAAGGGGACACCACCAGTGCACGGCAGCCACACAGTATGAGTTCCAGATCATTCTTAAGTAGCTCTTTTTCAGAATAATTTCCCCCAATCATCTCTTGCTTTTGGACAAAGGATTTCCGGCCACCTCCCCGCAAGCCAGGCCTCTTTAAGGATTTTCAGGTTCCTTATCTCAATTACTCACACAAGCAAAGCCTTGTGCTCCTCTGGCTCTGGGGCTGGCCAGACTTCCGGTCAGGGCCCCTGTTGGTGGTGACCATTCATTACATACCTTTTGAACATCAGATGGTACCCTGGAGAGGAAGTCTAGGAGCTCATTATTGTCGATGGAATAGGGATTTCGGAGCTTCTTAGTAAATTTATTTATTCCTGAAAAATAGAAATACCAGAGATCTATCTATCTTTAAAAACTTGCCTGATTGGTGGGGGGAAGGAGGGTATTCACAAGTAAAAATTAGTGTGAAAACAATTACTAGACCTCAAGTCATGCACATGTGGCATCATTCACAAATGCCTTTTCCTGAAGGCAGGAGGGGGCTGCCGGTGCAGAAGGGCTCTGCCTTCTTCAGCTGTGAAAATCCCATTACAGTCTCAGCAGCAGGGCGGCAGAAACACGCGCTCAAACTGGGGAGTTCATTGGCTTTTTTTGGAATACGCTGATTAACAGTCTCCTCTGCTATGAAAACAGATGTCCCAGATGGGAAAAGGCCTTTCCCATTCGCCCAAACAAGTCCCTGCTTGGAGGCTCTGGACCAAGCGCGGCAGTGGGAGATGGAAGGCGGGAGTTGTTTTCTGTTGTTACGAAGAAGAAACCGCAGCCGTCTATCTCCCCCCACCTCCAACTCATTTTCACAGGTTTCTCTTCCCTCACAGCAGAACAGAACTTGACATGTTGATTGTACTTCGATGCTGCAGGAAACTGTGAAAAGTTATTATTGGAAAATTATCTTACTAGGGTTGCTAACTTAATTTATGGACCGCAACACTGGCGCGTGGGACTGTCTGGGCAAGGGAGTCCATGCTAATTTAGGACAAGGACAATGCTAATTAGAAGGGGGTTCAGCATTTAAGATGTCAACGTACTGTAGGGTGTATGCGCTTTGGGGCCCTGGGCACATCCAGAACACGCTTTGCTCACGGTCGCCCGTGTTCAGAGGGGAGCTCCTCTCAACCACGTTTTGTCTTCTACTCTGTTCCTTGGCGCTGCTTTGCTTGTATCCAGAGCTTGTAAGCCATGTAGTCTTTTCACCAAATGTCATCCCTTTTTTCATGTTGAGTTTTAGAAGCAGAAAGACTAGGTGGCCTTCTGAAGTTTTGCCACAGGGTGCTTGTTTAACAAGGATCATATCTGAAGGGCTGTCATTCCCAATGACGCCGAATGAATTCTTAGCTTCGTTGTACTCTGAATGGCTCTTACTCAGAAGCCAAGGTAACATTTAACTGTTCAGTAGTCCCCAACACACAAAAGGTTTGATGTTTTTTTTGTTGTTGTTCATTAAATATTACTTTGCTTTCATCCGAGGACTAGGCTTCCTGCATGGCATTATACCTGACACAATGCCAACCTCCAGTTATTTCTTTGGAGGGTCAGATTTACATCTGCTTTGCAAATGGGAGCCAGCCATTGTTCAGGAGTAAATGGTGGCTTGGTGGTCGGGCTGGGGAAGGTTCCTAGCAAACGATCCCCTTTCCCTCAAGTCAAAGCTGCACTCTGCCTTTCTTCCCGCTACCCCCACAGCAAGCTTCATGTTTCTAGCTAAAATACCCCCACGCGTTCCTTTACACTAAAATACTCTGACTGTGTTATTCTAAAGACATTTAATTGTAGCATGGGCTTTTTGGCAAAAGAAAACAGACAAGGCAAAATGATGAAGGGAGACAAAGACGTATTGAGAAAAGATATATCTTCTATTGTTAATTATATATAGTGTGCGCATCTGGAGCCTTTACAATGAACAGCAAGGCAGGGATAATATCACAGTCGATCAAAACACTGCATTCTTAGTGACTGAGAAGATTATAAACCTGCACAGTAGCTCGAATGCACCAATAAGGGCAAAAGTAGTCCACAATGCACTGAGACTGTCTATGATGAAAAAAAAAAATAGAATAAGAATATAAGGCTCTCAGATTGCATGTTTCAAAAGCACACCTTAAGTTGTCTCTGGCTCAAATGTTTCAGTATTTCTGCCATATTATCTATTTGTGAGACAAGTGTCAACAGGAAATCATAGACTTCGTAGTCATCTTCAAGGGGCAAGAAAACAGGGGTTGTGATGCAGGAATACCTGGGCCCCCATTCTGGCTTCATCATTAACTGGGTGATTTTAGGCAATTTGCTTAACCTCCCTGTATCTCAGATTTCTTATATTAAAATTTGAATTATAAAGACCTGCCCTAGAGGGTTTCCTGGGTTGATGGGAGAATGACATTGGATGGCAGAGACAAAAGGATTGTGTAACCCACAATTCCACAACAATACATTGCTGTAGATATCAATAAGCTAAGAAGACAAAGGAGGTGGTGAAGGAAAAGAGTCTTTATACTATCAGGCATGTGATCACACATCCAAATTTGGAAATTGTGGCTTCATTCAGTAGCCTGCTAGCCATACCTTTAGATTTATTTTAACCTAAATGATACAGATAGAAGGTATATTTGCTTTAAATTTTTTATTCAAAAAAACCCAAGGAAGAAAAAAACAAGTGAAATCCAAATATTAAAGGAAAACATTTGAAAGAGACACTGTCACTTAATGATCCTATATCATAGATTGAATTGATCAATGGGGTGGAATGAGTTCTCCAGTGAAAGAAATAAAAACAAGAAAAACATCACTTGGAGAATGCCCACTTGAAACAGAATTACAGCATTATTTTTCAGATATTTTATGAGTGGCTTGCATATAGCTCCAAGGGTAATACATTAGTCAGGTGGGGCAGAGGTTCATTCCTTGTTCATTTATAAAACCTAGTTGTCTTCCATGTATAAGATACTGTGCTATCAAATGAAGGTGCAAAGATAAATAAGTCATGGTTCCTTCTTGCAAAAAGCTCAGAATTTAGCTTGGGGAATTCACATCTACATTGAAGAAAAAAACAGAAGTGGCTTAGACTAGAACTGAAAAATTACAATTAGAGCATCTATGATGAAGAACAGAAGACTAACATGGGATCTAATCCTAAGAAATGTTCTGTCCTTTAGAAATACATACATCAAATAAGTGACTAAAATTCAGATAAAGAAAACTTCAGATAGCCTTGTAAAATCTACTTCTCACATAAATTTTCAAAAGTCACACTCCCACCCAAGAAAGGTGGTGGGCCAACAAAATGTCACCTATATAGAACACAGGCATTAAGCTTACAGACTCATTTACTCATAAAATATTTTAAAGTATTCATTATTTATATGTAGCCTCACTAGGAATTAGAGGGCAAGAGAGTCAAACAAAAGTATCTCACCTGTCAAAACCTTACAATGATTTTGGTAGGTCCAGGAATATTTCCCATGCTTATGTCAAATAATTCTGATAAACACTTAAACAAAAATATTATTTGGGTATACAGAATATGGAAATCTAGTGCATACAGCTAAATATTATTTCAAAGAATTAAAGATCTCATTTTTATGACTCAGTGAAAATGAATAAGGAACACAAGGAAAGTCTTCTGATCCTTAAAAGGAACACTAGAAGTTTAAGACATACAAATTCATCTACCATATAAGAAAGTCTCTGTAGGGGATACAATCATGTAAGAGATGTGCAAAGAAATGTGCTGGGCCCATGCTAGGTAATAACTTGTCTTAGAAAAAAATAATTCCTAATAGAATTGGAGAAAATATTCCAAGATTGCATGGGAGGTCTTATAGGACAAGAAGAGGTGATAGATCCCATGTTGATTGGGAAGGCTTTTGACTACATTTATCCATGGTAATCTCATCAATAACCATGAACTCCTGGCTAAAACATAAAACCAAAGAACCAGACAGAATATAGAGCTCAAAGGGTTACTGGAGAGCATAATAAACTCCATGCCAATTAATAATTTTATCCATAAAGTGAATAATAGAGCAATGTTTCATTAAGTAGATGCGAAAAGTTGTTGTTGGAAAGCGGTCAAAAACTTGGAGGATAAGATCAGAAGTCAAAGTGATTTGGGTAGATAGAGGAATTGGAATCCCAAAATTGATGATCAAAGGAAGAAACTCAGAATTAGTCTTCTTTGTGGCAGGAAAGCTGCATAGAAACACATCAAGCAAGCCCCAGAATAATAAAGAAATCAAGGAGCAACAGCGTTTAACAGCTGACCATATAGCATTTAGAAACTAATACTTATGAAAAAATTATTTTGTCTGTACAGAAAACATTTAGTATATAAAGTATTCAGGAAAATACTTTTGCAAAATATACCTTCTTAACACCAGTGTGCCCTGAATAGCTCCATGCTCTTCCCTAAGGACCAATGTCCTAGAACTGTTGCAAACTAAAGAAACAAGCAAAAACCAAGCAGGGATATAAGACTTTCAATAAGGACGAGAATCATCAGGTATTAAAACAGACCCCTACAGAGGGGGTTAGAATAGAGACTGACTGGACTGTACTCCCTCAAAAACCATTTTACTTCTGTAAATTTTGTGAGTTATTCTATTTTTCCCATGACTTTTCCCTTCTGAATGTTCATGTTTGGCTTTCCTTGTCAGCAGGTTTCTACCTTTGTGGGTTCTCTGTGAAAGGGTCTATATTTAATGGTTTTAGAAAGGCTGTAGCTTTTATTATGGCATTTGTAGGCTTTTAGCATTTGCTTAAAGATGAATGCACCTCAACACAGTTTCTCATCTTTGTGACTTCCCCTAACATCCGTAGAAGTGATGATGGCTGAGATCTCAGCAGCAGTCACTGGAGCTAAATAATGGAAAACCAGGACTGACTGACAGACTCTTATGGATAAGGGCTGACTGCTTCTCCAATAATTCAGTTACTGCAATTCATATTCCTTATATCAACTCAGAGCACACCCAGCAAGACACGAATATTCATAAAGCCACGTGTATTTTGTCCAGTTGCTACCTTGAGTATTAAATTATGAAATTTCCAGTTTGCCATTTTTGTTTCTACTTAAAGCAGCTAAACTTTATATAAGTACATCAGTTCCCTTGATAAATAACTTCCTCTTCTTTCAGGCACCAGTTACGTAGTCACATAATACACCCCCCTCCCTTTCCCCTCACTGCTTCCAAATTTAAGAATGGGGTTAGGTTAATATTTTTTCTCCAAGAGAGATGAAGTGTCAGGAGCAACCCGGCAGTGGCCGGATCTACTTTTACATAATATAAAGGGCAAGATGCAGGTGTTTGCTCACTGTTTGAACAGGGTTTCTGTAAAGTTAGTGGGCCACAGCTATATATCATTCAAGGGGATTTATGACTAGGCAAGCCTGAAGGGAAAGGGCATGCACAATCACAGTTTTGTTTTTATTGCAATTATGCAAGAGGCCTAATAAATATCGCTGCTGATCATTCACATAACTGGCCTTTCCAGGGAGGTCCTGAAAGTTTTTGTTCCCAAAATGCTTCTCCTTCATCTCCTGTTTAATTGCCAACGAGAGCACATTTAAAGTTAATAGTTGCACTTTAAAAATGAGTAATTGGTTCTTACCTGGAATTGATTTCTAGGCAAAAGGAGCCTGCCAAACTTACCCCAGATTAAAATGATGTACCGCAGCGGAACGAAATACAGAGTGACAGTGGCGGCTGCCAGAATCAAACAGGCCAGCCAGGAAAGGAAGGGGACGGTCCAGTTGAATGTGCTGTAGACAAACCACACAGATGTCATTTCCTCTGATGTCCAACAACTGCCAAAGTCATCTTGCCACGTTTATCTTACGGTTACGGTTATATACATAAAGAAAAGGAAAACCCTACTGGAAAAGTTGCTTTAAAAACTTGGAGATAAAAGTCCACCAAACTGATTAGGTACTGGGAAAGCATGGGTGAGGAGACAATCACAGAACAACCGTCATTCAATTTGTCAGAATATTGGTGACTCCTGGAGCCAACAGATCCTAAGAGAAGAATTCTAGCTCTAAAAAGATTGCAAATGTTGCCACAACAGCTCTGCACGTGGCCATCTTCAAAACTAGAGGTTGGTTAGATCACTTCCAAGCCAATATATCTTTCTCGATGAATACGTGGTTGCTAGTAAATATTTAGAAAAGGGAGGATATTATTACAGTGCTGTAGTACTTTTGTGTTATATATTTAGAATTTCCAGATTTTTTTACTCCAGAAAGCTAACTGTGCCCTCAAATGGGTAGGAGAGTATTTTGCTATATCGTCACACCACCAATCATAGAAAACTTAGGTGATTTTACCATATGTTATATTCACAGAGCTCCTGGCTCCTTTTATTGTGTCTATTGCCTGCTTTGACTAGCATGGAAATGGAGATCTAGTAAATGGGCTGTGGAATTGGATACACTGTGGAGGTTCTTGTGCTGTCCTAAAAATCTAACACCCTACCGAGGGTTTGTGGGTACCTACAGTGGTCTCCACTGACCCTTTTCCCTGTGCTAGGAATACAAAGAGGTAAAAGATGTTTTCTGTTGTCTTCTATATGTGTGAGTGGGGAGATGCTGGGGGGGATTTTAGAGGTAGTAGCATATAAGAGCTATCACGCATTTAATATGTGCCAGACATTGTGATAACATTAACAATTCTACCAAATTTTATACCCAATTTATCGATGAGCAAATTAAGGCTGAGAGAGATTGTCTGATTTACGTAAATAATCACACTTCCTTCAACAGTGTAAGAGAACTACAGTTATGTCATCCTCTTAAGACTTATGAAATATTTGCCCATTAAGAGGTATAATATTTTATATATATGTATGTATTTAATTTATCACTTCTTTAAATTATAAGCAAATTTGAACACCTTTTAATATGTCTGTTGGTCATTTTGTTTTTCAGAGATTTTATTTATTTTTGTCTGGGGCTACTATTTAGGAAAGTGCTTGAGAAAATTGATGTCCAAACATACTAAGTTGGGTTTGAGTCCAGGATCTATCTCTAATAAGCCAAGTAACTTCCAGAAATTCATTTAATGAATCTCAACCATAATTTCCTCTCTGCAAAATGGCAATAGTAACACCACCTATATCATAGATTCTGTCAGAATTAAGAATTTACATGTAAGTAGTTAGCTCAGCATCTGGCACATTGTAAAAACTCAAAAACAACAACAAAAAAAACGGAAAACAGTTACTATTTGCAAATTCTCCCTTTGGTTAGTAAAGAAATCAGTCCTTTGTCATTTGTTACATATAACATTTTCCCAGTTGCCTTTATAATTTTTTAATCATAAAATTATATATTCTACATATATGACCAAATTTATCATTGTTTTCCTTGTCGATTTCTAGATTTGGCTGGACTTACAAAGCCCTTCCCCAGCCCAGTGATAAGACATCACCAACTGAATAATCACTAGTTTCCTCAGTCTTCTAACACACTCTGCTTATGTTATTCTGAATTTCTACATATATGTAAGGTTCATTCCTGACTTCTCTCTCCCACAGAACTTGTAGCAAAACATTCTAGAGGGCAATCTCACAATATGTGTTGAAATGTAATATGGACTCCACATTTGCCCCGGTTCTGCATGGCGAGAAATTTAGCTTATAGCTCTCCATGACAAAGGACAAAGAGACAGCACACAAATGTCTGGTCCAGGATGTGTTGTAAAACTTGAAAAAGGAAATAACCTCAGTATTAATGGAAAATTTTCTAAATATCTAAAAATCTCTAAATTAACTCAAATTAGGTTTATATTCTGCAATGCTAATGTAACTTTAAAACAAAGACAAATACAAAAAGAACACTCCCACTCCTACCCTGAAGGCTCAAAGACAGATACAGTGAAAAACTAAATTACAGAAATAAAAATAGTCATACATGTAATAATTATTATATATATTCATACATACATGTAATAATTATTACTAAATGGACATATACCATATATATGTTTTTCTACTGAAGAACTATCTCAAGTCTATATTTGAAACTGTTAATGGTAACTCAACATGAGGGGGTACAGGGAATGAAGGGATGTACAGAGTTAATGGGAGGCTGTATGTCCAATTGGCTGCATTGTTTTTATAATGGATATATATATATATTTATAATAAAAATACAAATATCAGATATAATAGTATATAAAGAGTATATAAAACAAAGAGTATAAAGTTTAAGTAGAGACATAGTAAATGGCACATCCTGGACATAAATCCACAGCTAGGTAAAACAAAATCCACCTTTGTTTTCACTCTGGCAGATTATTTATCAACCAGTAGCTTACAATTTAAAAATAATTCCTGTTCAATTTTTGCTAGCTATGTGACTTTAAGCAATTTACTCAACTTCTCTTTGCTTTAGTTTCCCCATCTGTAAAATGGGAATAATAACGTCATCTACTTTATAAAGATGCTGAAGGAATTCAATCAGTGAATAAATGTAAAGCAATTAAAATATCTGACACATAGTCATTATTCAATAGATTATGGCTACCCTCATTTTTCTTGTTATTGCACAGAAGGGACATACATATAAAAAGAAAGCTGATTATATCAGGCAGCATTTTTAAAATAACAAAAGCTATAAACATGTATAAAATTACTTTTATGAAAGAAATATACATTATAATTCCCTTTCTAGCAATACTACTCCACCTTTATTAAAAAACAAAATAGTAAACACTTCTAAAAACCCTTTTTTTTAAGGAAGAAAAAAATGTCATCACTAGGCTGACATTAAGCTATTAATTTAAAAAAAGAGTAATTGCAAGAACTCTAGGAGGTAACTAAGCTTTGAAGTCAATTTTCACTGTAATACTTTCTGCCCAAGATTGGAATTCTGAGTTGCTTTCTGTTACCTACACGGTGTGTGGTGGGCAGAGGATGAAGCCTAGGGCCTCCCCAAGTGGAGACTGTAATAGGAGACTATTGCATAAAGATTACATTTTCAAGGTGTGGATAAGGAAGAAAAAGGAGGGAGGCGGTCACCAAAAACAAGTGGACATACAGAACCATGACTATCGTGAGCCTGGTACCAGGTAGAGAGAGATTTATCATCTGAGTTTGTGTTACCTGTGTAGTTTCAGAAGGCTTAAGCAAAAAATTTAGAAAGGGATCTCACGTTGGTAGTACCCCAAGGTGACTCGAGCAGTAATATTCTCCAAGGAAATGCATCATGAACTCAGATATCTGAGTACTCTCCACATACAAAGACAAGTAATGTGCGTTCATAGAGAAAAACTCAAAATATAAAAGGATACAAGGCACCATGAGTGAAAGCCAGCAGAAATAACAGCAAAATCTGAAACAAAAGACTTCGCATACTGAAATCTAATCCAACATATTAATTACGTTTAATATGTTAAAAGTTATAAATAGAAGCTAGAAAATAAATATCCAAGAAGATCTGAAAGCTAAGCAAGTAGAACTTTGAAAAAAGAAAACTATAGCGATTAAAGTTAAAAACTCAACAGATGAATTTAACAGGATTTAAATTGCAGAGAACTAATGTAGTGCAACATTGTCCAAAGAAAGTACTGAGAAGGCATCACAAAGAGCAAAAAGATGGAAGATATCAAAGAGAGTTTAAGAGACATAGAATATAGATTAAGAAGGTTCCTACATTGACTGGGAAGACAATAAAAGCAACAGTTAGTCTCAGACTGCAGTAAATCATACTGTTAACTCCAGGGTGACAGTTAAAAGAATAGCAAGAGTGTTTCAATTCCTAGAAAACAGAGGAAAAATATAGAAGAAATAAAAAGATACAGAGCACATAAGTAATCACTTACAAATCACATATTTAAATCTAAATATATTAGTCAACCCCATTAAACTTGCACGAATTACAGGCTACAATTCAAGGATGGTGATGCTCAGATATGAGAGAGAGATCAGAAACAAAAACAGGCTGAAAGAAAAAAACATAAAAGGAGATATGCCACAAAGAAACTAATGAAATAAAGGTGGTACAGTAGCTCCCCGTTACCTGCAATTTTACTTTCTGTAGGTGCAGTTACCAGGGTTTAAAAATATTACATAGAATAAGATATTTTGAGAGACAGACTATATTTACCTAACTTTTATTATACTGTATTATTATTCTATTAATATTTATTGTTAATCTCTTACTATGCCTAATTTATAAATCAAACTTTATCATAGATAGGCAGGTATGGGAAAAAACATAATGTCTATAGGGTTGGATAATATCCATGGTTTCAGGTATCCACTAGGGGTCTTGGCACATATCCCTCACAGATAATAGGGGACTGTATAGCTATATTAATATTAGTCAACAAGACACTTAGGCAAAACTTTATTAACACAAACAGGTTATCTCATATCGATTAATAATTCAATCCACCAAGAAAATATAACAATCTCAACATATACAAACCAACTAACATAGCTTCAAAATGTAGAAGCAGAAATTGACAAAACTGCAGGGAGAAACAGACAAATTCACAACCATAGTAGAAAGGTTCAACACAGCTAAATAATTGATAGAATCCCCCAATCAAATATAAAAATCAGTACACGTATAAAATGTTTGAACATAGCAAATTTAATCTAATGGATATGCACAGAACAATACATCTAATTATTTACTTTTTAAGCTCACATGAAAAAATCTACAGAATAGGCCATTGCTGGGTCAATATTTTCTGACTATAGAGCAATTAAGTTGGAAATAAGGAACAAAAAGATAACTAGAAAATCTCCACTTAG